GTGAAGAAATGCGAACAATGTCAGAAATACGTCCCAATAATTCACCAAGAAGGCAAACATCTCCACTCAGTCACCTCTCCAAGGCCATTCATCAAGTGGAGAATGGACATCATGGCCCCCCTCCAAGAAGGGGGTAATGTACGATTTCTTTTAAGTTTAACTAACTATTTCTCTAAATAGGTGGAAGCAGGAGTGTTCACCCAAAACGTGAACAAGAGGTAATCGACATCATATGGAAAAAAATCATCTGCCGATTCGTCCTACCCAAAGAGATCAGCTGCGACAACGGACCTAATTCAAGGGAAAGAAAACCACCGAATTCCTCGAGAAATGGCATATTAAGAGGAAAGTTTCAACCCCTTATCACCTACCGGGTAACGGGCGGGCAGAATCCTCCAATAAGTCCATATTGAACATCATGAAGAAAAAACTCGAAGACACCATGGAAATGTGGCCGGAAATACTCCCAAAAGTATTGTGGGCATATAGAACCACCCCAAAGACAAGCATAGGAGAGACACCCTATTCTCTAGTCCACGGAACTGAAGTAGTCATACCAGTAGAGGTCGAAGATCCCAACCTAAGCTACTCCCATGAAAGCGGCCATAACAATAACGAGAGTAGAAGGCAAAAACTCGATGAGGTAGAAGAATGAAGAGACATAGCATACATAAGAATGGTCGCCCAAAATCAGCAAGCGAAATGTTACTACAACAAGAAGGCAAAGGTCCGACCGCTTAAAGTTGGAAACAACATACTCAAAGCCAAAACCCAAACAAGCAGAGATCCACGAGAAGGCAAACTTAGAACAAACTAGTACGATCCATACACAATTATCGCCAAAGAAAGCAAGGGTTCATACCAACTAGAGACAATAGAAGGAAAATAATTACCAAACAATTGGAACATCATCCATCTCAGATACTTCATCTTATAAAAAGAAGAAGAACTGACTGGTTTCTCTTTTATTGCCCGACTCCCCAATACTCTTCAATTCAAATAATGAAGGGACTAGATAGATTGGGACTAGGACTGGAATGCCAGCCAATGACCAAAGTTTGTAACTTTCTCAAATTATATAATCAAAGAAACAACGTCAAAGTAATAGAAACTTACATTTATCAAAACCGCCTTAACACAAGGTTGAGTTCGACCAAGTTTGAACAACACCTACCGGTCCTCAGCCTCACGTTCACAAAAGGTTATGTTCGACCAAGTTCGAACAACACCTATCTGCCCTCAGAACAATTCAAGGAAAGGTTAAATTCGACCCAACTCAAACAAATACCTATCGGCCCTCGGTCGCAACTTGACAAAAGGTTAAGCTCAACCAAGTTCGAAAAATACCTATTGGCCATCGGCCACGATTCAAGGAAAAGTTAAGTTTGACCCAGCTCGAACAAACACATATCGGCCCTCGGCCTTACCTTGACAAAAGGTAAAGTTCGACCAAGTTTGAATAACACCTATCGGCCCTCGGCCATGATTCAAGGAAGGGTTAAGTTCTACCCAGCTTGAACAGACACCTATCAGCCCTCGGATGCACCTTAATAAAAGTTTAGGTCCGACCAACTTCGAACAATGCCTATCGGCCATCGACCACAATTCAAGGAAAGGTTAAGTTCGACCAAGCTCGACCAACACATATCGGTCCTCGGTTGCACCTTAACAAAAGGTTATGTTTGACCGAGTTCGAACGATGCCTATCAACCATTGGGAACAATTTAAGGAAAGGTTAAGTTTGACCCAGCTCGAACAGAAACCTACTGGCCCTTGGCCACAACTTGACAAAAGGTCAAAGTCGACCAAGTTCAAACAAACACATGTCAACCTAATATAAACAAAAAGACATACTCGACCTATGTAAACAAAGGGCTGATATAGTCCATAGATATTCGTCCCCAAGGCTACTGCCAGCTAGAAGACAACGACAATAAAAATAGCAGAAAGTATAATGAGCAAACAACATAAGCAAAAATTTACAAGTGCAGAAACATATCACGGGAATGGAAGAAGGTGCAAGAAACAACTTTAATATTTCACATGTAAATAAAGAGTTTTTTACAAAGACTCTTCGAGGCACCGACAAAAATACATAAAAAAGTTAAAAATAAAAACTACTAGCCATCGCCATTATGACCTTCTATGACCTTATTAGCTCGGTTTCCAACAACGTCATCTACCCGACCACCAATGACCTCATCGTCTCGGTCACTATGCCCACTGATGCCCTCTCCACCCTCGTCCTCCGGGTAAATAGTATCATACCAGGAATCATCCTCAAGACAATCTATGCCCTCTTCCCTATCCTCCTCGTCAGGTCTAAGCATGACGGGATCGTACCCACAAGCAACCCGAGCTTCGTGAGCGTTAACCCGGGTATCCTCAAAGGCCACATAAAAATAGAGCCCAATGCATACAAGTCCTGAAACATATCTAGTCGGGCCTCGGCATGGATCCACTTTCTGTACAACTCCCGAGGAACACTGGGAAATTAGAAGCATTAGAAGAAGACAATCGCGCAAGTAGTTGGGCCCTCTCAGCCTCCAAGGTGATAACTCAGTCATGAAGGTTGGAGTTTTCCCTGTCCAGTTCCCCAATCCTCTCCTCGAGCCAGTCCTCCTTATCTATCGCCTTTAACTGATCATTTTCTCGCTCAGCCCGAAGAGTCTTATTCGTCAAATTGAAGATTTCCACCTTCCTTTGAGCGTCCAATTGGGAGGACTCTTCCTTCTTAAGCTCCTCCTGCTTCTCGGCAATCTCACCGCTGAGGGCCTTCATCTGGAACCAACACTCTTCAAGTTGTCCTCATAGTTGGACAACTTGGGCATGAAGATCACTGCATTAGGCCTCTACGCCCCTGCTGACCTCAAGCTCCTCATCTTTTCTCCTCAACATCCCTCTAAGGATGCTACACTTCTCTATGGCCTACACCAGCTCTTCATCCCTCTTCTTCAAGTCTTCCCTTAGGACCCCCACATCGCTGCCCTTGCGAAGCCGACTTCAGAGATCTCGATATTTACCGTGGTACTCATTATATTTCCCTTTCAGCTTCACAAAGATATCCTTGTGCCTTTTCTCCCTCCGGGCGCTCTCAATTTCTAGAATCACCATATGCACTTCAAAGAAAAAATGTCAGAACTTTGAATGTTCTAAGACATTAGAAAAGAGTCATACAATAGTACTTACCCTAAGAGCAAGACCGACAACGCTCTTCGACAGAGCGTCGTCATCTCTCTCTTTGAGGGTCTTACCCTTGACGTCAGAAAAGAGAGGGCTGTGGGCAGGGACTACCTCCTTAGTGTTCACCAACAAATCATGATCCATTAGGATTGTGATAGTCCTCTAACCCCCGTTCCCCCCTCCCCCCTCCAACCTCACCTCGAAATGGGTGAGCCTTTCACCGATCATTCTCAAGTCGTCCAAATCGACATCGGAACTTGACTCATCGCCATCTTCAACAACAGTCTTCTCCCTATCATTAGTAGGCGAAGAGGCAACCACAAATGTTCATTCATCCTGACCACTAAGCATTTCCCCCCACGGTGGCTAATATTCAGCAACATCCTTCGATAAAAATGGGGGCAAACATGTGAATCAAGTGGTATACCATAATCTCGACGTCAGCAAATTCAGCGAACCTCACTAACATTTTTACCACCTTGAAGACATAAGGGGAGAGTTATACTGGGAATATGTTATAGTAGCTGCACAATTCTTCTATCAATGGAGATAAAGGGAACATATAGCTGATTATGAACAGATCAACATAAAGGGTACAGAATCCAGGACGATGGACCCGCACTTCGTTATCACCTGCAGGGACCAATTCCATGTGATCAGGAAGGCCGAGCCTAGCCTTAAATTTGTCTAAACTCTCGATCGTCATTGTGGATCAGAACCTCTGATTCACCACTTCCAGTGCCTTGTGGAAATCGGGTTTGGCATCGGGGTACCGATGTACAATCTCCTCTATAGTAGGGAGGGTTTCCTTCTCAACAGCCGCTGCAACGTCTTCCCCCTTATCAGTGAAAATGACATCTAAAGGAATAGAATGATCTTTTATATGGGTATCAAATGAGAAGTTCAACATTGTTGTAGAGGAAGACAAAGAAGTAGAGAAAGTACCAGAGAAATGGTAAAATCCTACGAAAGAGAAGAAGGAATTTTTCTTAAGAAACAGAAGGAGTGTGGAAAAATTCAAAATCAACAAACCCACCCTTATTTATAAGGTTTGGGGGCACCAGAATCGAAACGGATGGTCATGGTTAGCACAAAGATCGAAACAGCATAACCAATCAAGGGCTACACGAGAATTGATGCAATGTGTCGGGAATTAGCGTCATCATGATGCATGACATCATGACATCACTCTTTCTCTTGGACTTGATGACTCCAACAAATTATTTGAGAAATTTTAGAAATTTGAAATACGCGGCCCATAGAGAGCCACGTTGCCTGCTCACCACAATAACCATGACCCGTATAGTTTGCTCGATAAACTCGACCATGAATGACATTATCCTCTCATCGAACTCATTGGCGAGGACGAATTCAACAAGTGTAGGGTCTAACTATATAGGTCAATAATTATCTTGGATATAAGCAAGATGCGTCAACATTAAGAGGGCCTTCATAGGCTTCCACGTGTTATCAGTACGACTTCAACAAAGGTCTGCCAGAGGTCAAAATGGTACCTTAAGAGGTGAAGGGTGGGGTCGACGAGTCAGGGAAAACCAACGTCGAGAAGTCATCTTAGGTTGTCATTGTAATACCCCGAATTTAAAATAAGGACATAATTATCCTTTAGCTAGAACTTAATTAAAAAAAGACAAAAGAAGAAAAATAAGATAAACAAAAAAATAATTAAATAGTAAAAACTGGGTGGATCAAAGCCCACCAAAAGAAAAGTGACGTAACTTAAACCAAACAAAAGGAGATTGGAGTTCTTAATCTAATAGGATTTTAATACAATTAAAATCAAAAGATATGGGGGAAAAAGGGACGCCGCCTTGTCCGGCTAAAACAGGATCAATACCAGTTGAATTAAAAAAGGACGCAGAGAAGGAACAAAGAAGAAGAAGAAGAAGAAGAAGAAGAAAAAGAAGAAGAAAGATGCTCGAACTAAAGTTTGAAAATTTTAAATACGTACTGATTCTTAAGGGTAATACTCGAACTTCTTATCTGAGTTCTCCTTTTTAATCTCGTTTGTGTTTGAAGGATTTCACAAGGTATAGAAAATTAAATATCAATAAGAAATATTGTGGACAACAATAATATTTTAAGTTACATCTGATTCGTATGTCCAGGGAAATAATTTTTTTCTTCTTTGTTAGTATTATATCAAATAAACTATTTGAACACCTTTTTCCAAAGAAGATACTGGACTAGCTTAAGTTATTTGAGAATAAAACGAGATATCTTGAGAGTTGGGTATACTAGTTGATTCGCAGAAATAAGTCTGTCCCATGGAGTGAAAACAGGGAAAGAATTAAGTTCAACAAAATTTAACCGACTACACTGGTGCCCGTGGAGTTAATACATAGATTGGTTTTGTACTGATATAGGTAGTTGAAGAAGTCGAACGAAGTGCTCGCAGCGTCAAGTTCGATATTTCGGCACGAGTACTGTGAGTAGTAATATTACCACAATTTGTGTTTTCATAACCTGCATGGTTTATACATTATTTTGAAAATATAATATGTTATCGAATGTTTGAAATTGCATGTGGGACAAGTTCTTTACTTGATATGATACTAGATAGTTTACTTGAGATGTTTACAATTATTTAAAATGTTCTCACTGTTACTAGACATGTTTTATTATTACTATTGATATGATTACCGTCATCGAAATTGGATTACATGATTTGATAAGAATTGAAATATCCTTGTACTAATTTGAAAATGCTTCCATGTGAATAGTTACTGTTTACAAAGAAAAGTATGAATGGGAGGAGACTTTGAAGGATCCCGTAGCTAACGACGGGTTCGTTAGACCTAGTGCACCTTGTATTTACCGATTATCGAGTACAATTATAGCCCTTGCTAGTGGGAAGGTAGAACTAGCATACAAATACAGTTTTCCCTCGAGTAGGGACCTACAGTTATATTTGGCTCTTTTTACGAAGGGATCTATACAATGATACAGATTACATGATCTTTATTTGGTAATCCTCCAAAATATAAAGATTTGCTATGAGACGGTGTTTACCGAGTTTATTAAACTGATTTTTATTACAGGAACCACATGAATTGACTAATTATATTTACTGTTTTTGAGAGAGCATTTTATTTTTATGATGGTTCTAATTATTATTATTATTATACAAGCATATTTTCTGACTTGTCCCCAATTTAAAACAGTTGTGGTTAAGTGCTATTAGTCACTTAGCTAGTGACTCAATCCCCGCTATTTCTTTTACAGAGACATCAATTGACGCGAGTGAGGATTTCGTTAATTAGAGTACACAATTTGATAATTTTTTTGTGAGCCCCATACATGTTCGCCTGGGCGAAGAGTTTATTCATTTGATTCGCTCCATAGTCATTTTGTTAGTGTCATGAGTATTCGTTCATTATTATAGACCTATGACTAGTATTAGACTCTCTTATAGTATTTTGGAGATGAATTTAAGATTAATATGTTACAAGTGATTGATTAATAGTTGATGAAAAATATGAGATATTTTGGTTAATATAGGTTTGTTCTATTGTTGATTTTTGAGACAGGGTAAATTTTTGGATAGTTCTAAAACAGGGGAAACTTTACCCGATTTTCTGTACATTCCCATTAAGTCTTGCTTCGGGATCCTACCCCTTAGTGCCGGTCAAGGCCCTAAATTGGGTCGTGACAATCATTGAATATTGTTAGTGTTGTCTACATTTATTATCATTCGGACAATATAAATATTATCTTACTAAAAAAATTAGCTAACTTGCCTTTTGGATGTTAATATTGGCTAAGATTGTCTTTATCCTGTTAAATCTAATTGGTTGAGCTTAGATCCAAATTTTGGGTTAAACAAGAGTTTCAATTGCTATTAATAAAATTAAATGTTCTTATTTTGCTCGTTTATTAAATTATAGAATGCCATTAACTTAAATACTTGATTACTATTTCTCACATTTCCTTTTTTTTGTCTCAATTTTTTTTTCTATAGGTAAGTCAGTTAAATAGAGTAATAAGGGGAAAAAAATCATGATTTCGAAGAAATAAAAGAAGAAAAAAATTAATAATGTAAGGATAAAATAGGTATTTAAAAAAGTCCATTGATATATATCAGGGAGGGATCGTCTATTGGATGCAAGTAAATTTTCTTGCATCATCGTTGTTAGTAACCACTTGCCACTTGTCTCTTCCTTTTTTTATTTAAATAGTTGCGCGCGTACCTATATCAATAAATATATAATTTTTAAAAATTATATATATATATATATATNACACTTCAAATCAATCCCTAAATGATCTTATTATGATTTATGAGATCGGTAAACATGAATGTAAGTCTTTATATATCTTATTATGATTTATGAGATAATATATATCTTATGAAAATTATTGTTATATTTATTACCAAATACTATAAACAAGTAACAAAAAAAATACTTTAAAATAATTATTCAAAAATAATAAAATAAATTGAAGAATTTGAATCTTTGGGTCTTTTTGAAATTTGTGAGCGTAGAGATAGAACTAAAGCTCCTAGAAACCTATAGATAAATAACAATATAAAGTATGAAATAGCTAATATTGAATTATAAAAAATGATGTAATACGATATGAAAAATATAGGGAGCTATCATTTATTAAAATAAATATAAAAAGAAAGAAAAATGATAAGGGTAATTTTTGTGATTTTTTTTTTGTCTTGGGTTATATCCTTATTGTTTCAACTTAGCATTTTAGTAATTTAACCTTTAATACTATATTATAATAAATTTTTCTCTAATTACTTATTTCTTTCACGACAATTGCTCTTATTGTGTAAAATAATTTGTGTACCTTAATAGTTTTATCAACTTGACAAATAAGTTTACTTACATAATAATTTTAAAACAAAATTGAATTGACTTTTCCGTTCTTTATTAATTCAAAGACTTAATTATTTGTTGAGATTTTATGTTTTTTTGATAGTATAGAAGATACAAATTATTTTCAAACTATTCTCCTACTCGAGCATAATATTATTCTCTTTATCGATTTTATGTAATATTGAAAACTACATTTAATAATTAGAACAAATATTTAATTAGGTAATGTTAGAATTATAGGTTCCCTAATAAGAGGAATCAATGTAAACATATTTCTATGGAAATCACGTGAGTATACAAGGAAAAGAAACGTAATACCCTTAATTAATTCTCTTAAATAATATCTATTTTAAAGTCCTTAATATTAGAGTTTCTTATTTAATTCAATAAGGAAAAATCTAATAATCAAATTTTAGTTTCTTTTAAAGTCCTAAATATTAAGATAATAATTAAATAACTATTTTATCTAGTGTGAGCTCTATTTTAAAAGGATAAAAAAGGCGAACGACATTTCGCTAAGGGCCTTCGTGCTTTTAATATAGTATAGATAAATGACACAAAAAGTGAAGTGAGAACTAGGGGTATGCATAGGTTGAGTTGGTTCGGATTTTTAATTACCAAACTAAATTAGTGGTATGGATTTTTAAAACTATAAACCAAATCAAACCAATAAAGTCGGGTTTTCAATCTCGGAGTTTTTTGTTTTTTTTTTCCAGGTTTTTGGGGGTTTTCCAATAAAGTTTTCATAGCACGAAATATGTAACTTATTCCCTATATCTTTTTAGTTCTAGTAAGATACAACTATATAATGTTTTTCCACGAAAATAACACAATAATATGAGATGAGTCACAACATTATACTAAAATATTAAATAACAAAGATAACAAAATTGCATAAAGCAAATATTGCTAATTAATAAGTCATAATGAAAATTAACATAAACTAAAAGTTAGTTGTCCCGACCCGGATTTTCCACGTCGGGATCGTGATGGCGCCTAACTCTTGAATGTTGGGCAAGCCAATAGATACGGTTCTAACACATTAATCATTAGTTAAAACAGTAATAAATATTAATTAAAGCTAAATAGATATGAAGTGCAAAAGTTTTATAACAGTTCAAAACTATAAAACATGACTATCCTAATGATCTGGTATCACAATCCACGAACGACTAAGAATCTCTACAAATACCGGTTTAAAGGAAAAATACATCTATTTTTGAGAATGAAAGAAAACAGGAACTAAGATAGAGGGAAGGGGATTCCAGGGTCTGCGAACGCCAGCAGATCTACCTTGGGTCTCCTGTGGACTGAAGGTAGCAACCTCAAACTCTGATTAGTATGGTCCAGTACCGGGATCTGCACAAAAATGCAGAGTATAGTATCAGTACAACCGACCCCATATACTGGTAAGTGCCAAACCAAAATTTGGCGAAGTAGTGACGAGGCTAGGACACGACAAACAACATAAACATGTGTTGTTAAACAATATACTAACAGAATAACAAGTAATAAAGCTAAGCGGAAATGAATGGGAAGGGGCAACATGTTATGGGGGTTTCAACATACAGAATCACAGTAGTAAAGGAATCTAAATAGCTAGTACACTTGAACCGATAACAACAACTAAACATAGCATACAGAAAATGCACGGCATCACCCTTCGTGCTTTTATTCTCAATCCTCACCATGCAATCAATAATTGAAACGTGCAGGCATCACCCTTCGTGCTTTATCACTCTTCCTCGCCATATGAATAATATAAATGTGCACGGCATCACCTTTCGTGCTTTATCACTCTTCCTCGCCATATGAATAATATAAATGTGCACGGCATCACCTTTCGTGCTTTATCACTCTTCCTCACCATGTATATAATAGAAATGTGCACAGCATTACCCTTCGTACTTTATCACTCTTCCTCGCCATATGAATAATATAAATGTGTACGGCATCACCTTTCGTGATTTATCACTCTTCCTTACCATATGAATAATATAAATGTGCACGGCATCACTCTTCATGCTTTATCACTCTTCTTTACTATATGAATAATATAAATGTGCACGGCATCACCCGTCGTGCTTTATCACTCTTCCTCACCATAAGAAACAATAGAAAAAATAATAACCCGACAAGGGCATCACAATCAAACAACTTCGTTTCATCACTTAATTTCACAACAGAAATCTCAACTGGAGCCAATACTCAACCAATATCCAAAACCAGGAATAAACATAATAAGACTTATTTAACATGAGTAATAACTAGTTTACGTAGGAACCATACATACAAAGAAACACAACGATCACTAGTATAAGACGCACTCGCATGCTATGGCCCGACAACGACGTATAGATACTCGTTACCACACCTATACGTTGTACTTAACAACTAAAAAAATAGCAAATAAGACATCAACACCTAATCCCTCAAGCTAAGGTTAGCCACGACACTTACCTCAATTCCACAGCGAAACTCAAGCCTCAAATACTGTTTTTCCCTTAGTTTTCACTGCCAATACGCTCGTATCTATGCATAATTAACCTATTAACATCAATTAACACCAAAGAAACCAATTCTAATGCATGATTATAGATTTTCCAAAATTTCCCCCAAAAAGTCAAAAATCGACCCCGGGCCCGCTTGGTCAAAATTCGAAGTTCGGACCAAAACTCGATTACCCATTCACCCCTTAGCCCAAATATGCAATTGGTTTTGGAATCTGGCCTCAATTTAAGGTCTGAATCCCCAAATTTTCAAATTCCTAAATTCTACCCAAGAACACCCAATTTCCCATGAAAATCCCTAGATTTTGTGATGGAATCTTGGAAAAAAGATTAAATAGATTGAAGAAAATGAGTTAGGAATCATTTACCTATGATTTGGGGAAGAACTTGCTCTAGGAAAATCGCCTCGTAGAATTTAGGTTTTGAAAATTTGAAGAATGGATGAAAAATCCCGTCCAAGACCCTTTTACTCTGTTGCAGATGTCATATTTGTGACCTGAGCTTCGTGCATACACCCAAGTCCTATATTTTACTACAGACTCTCCAGGACCGTCAAATTACGGGTCCGGGTCCGTTTACAAAAAATGTTGACCGGAGTCAACTTAAATTATATTTTAAAGGCAAACTCAATTTCTTTCTTAAATTTCACATAAAGGCTTTCCGGAAATTTGCCCCGACTGCGTACACAAATCGAGGAGAAAGAAAATGAGGTTTTGAAGGCCTTAGAACCCCGAGTTGGGTTCTAAAACACAAGATGACCTTTTGGGTCATCACATTCTCCACCTCTAAAATAATTGTTCGTCCTCGAACGGATATAGAAAAGTACCTGAGTCGGTGAAAAGATGGGGATATTGGCTCCGCATATCGGACTCGGACTCCCAGGTAGCTGTCT